TCCTCACTATGCCCTGTATTCTCGACCAGGGTGTGCATCAAAATTACTGAAGGAACGACTTCAAAAGCCAAAGCCTCCATTCACCAGAAATTTTGATTCAATAGGCTTGTGGTGGGATATAGGCATTGCAATTTTAAAAACTCAGGTGATGAGGATGATACTTCAGGTGATGAGTGATCTGCTACATCTTCCAGACTACTGCCTGAACTGCTGTGAGCTGCCCTTCTAAAGTCAGCATTTCAGCAATAGAACAGTACTACAGGGCAGCAGCTGAGAGCTCAGACCCCATAGTCAGAAAAGTTTATTTCAGATCACTAGCTATATGACCATTACTTAAATTCTCAGAGCCTCAGTACCCTTACCTGAAAAATGGGAGCGGTAAAAGGGTGAAAAGAAAAATTACGTATAAACCGTTCAGCATAATGCCTCTTAGATGCTATTATTACCATCACCACTATTCCACAATATCTTTCTAGCATGGAGAGGATAAATTCCAAACTTTTGCCTTAAATCCTTTGAGTAATGAAGTGGGTAAGTTGTAAGGGCTGACTGGGTCTGAACTTTTAAATTCACCATACAAAAACTTTCGATGTGTTCTGAACCTCCCTTTCCAGGTTTATCTCCTACAACTGCCTACTCTCCCCTTATTCCCACTTCTAAGCAACTGTGTGGTAGTCCCTTTCTAACCATCTTTCCTCATTCATCTAATGAATTAATATTTTTTACCTTTTTTAAAGTGACACCATCTGAACCTCCTTTCTAATTTTAGGGCATTTCCACCCTCATGCTATTTTAGAAAAGGTCAGATCCTTACTCTCTCTTTGTCTCCTTGACCCTGGCATGGGAGGGTCAATGACCTAAACTTGGTCAACTGGAGGATGGAGTGAGTGCCATAAGGAAGCAGAGGCAGTCAGAACTCACTGCAGTGGGGCCCTACATTGATGCTGTCAGTACCGCACTAGAGAGTACACTACCTAGGCTGCTCCTATGCCATGGCCCTGGCATGGTTCCAGTAACATAGCTTCTCTTGGCTTCTTCCAAGCCTATTTATTTTGCTAGCCAATAATTCTGTGAGTTAGCAATATTGTTCAAAAAATTCCTCTTTTGTGTTAGGATTGTTTTCTGTTATCTGTAACAAACACCCTGACTAGAACATGTAGCACTTTTCCTCATCCTTCAGGATCCAGCCCCTCTTTGCTATCTTTCTTGACTGAGGTAGAGAGTTGAATGCTCCCTAACACTGAGCACACCTCTACTAGAGTATCTTCCAGTGCATAAAACAAGGCTATCTTCCCAGAGAGAACGTGAACTCAAGTGTTTACATGGCTTTATATCCCTAGCACCCAACATAGCACCTGTTCGTAGTACTTAATAGATGTTTCTGAACACTCAGAGCAAATGTTTCACATGTACAAGGCTATAAACAACAACCCACACTGTTCCAAACTTAACTGAGAAAGGTTTCTACTACAAATGGGATTTTAAGTAAGTTTTTAAGTTAAAAGAAACTAACTTGGTTAAAGGACTATGATTGAAAAGTTCCTGGTGTAATCAATTTCATTTCTAACACTGAAGGATCAATTATGTGAAAGCCAGGATTATTACCTATTTCCACTTGGAGTTCATAGTGAGAAACATTGGTGGAACAGATCACTTCACTGGCTCTAGTAGATGGAGGCAACCAGGAAAGGGTTCGCTCATCAACCTGCATTGTTTTAAAAAGATGAAAATAAAATAGATATAAACTTTTTTGGTCCTCTACCGCAATATAAAATACAAATATATTTTTAAACACATAAGTGCTTACTAAGAAGGCACTGAAAGGTGGCTTAAGACACTGTTTTAAGATCCAAAAAAGAGTTTACAATTGCTAATAATTGATATTAGTTAAAAAGCTATCAGCCTGTAAAGGAGGAGAGGGCAGAAAAAACAGATTTATAGGTAGGAAAGAATATTTTCAAGCACAATTTTCAGTAAACATTTTCAGGAGTTACTAAGAATGGCTATTAATTCTTCAGGATATCTAACAAATATATCAAGGGAAGAGATGCAGAGACCCGTGAAAGACAGTTCGTGCTCATGCACTTGCTTCAAGTGGTCACCAGTTATATCCATTAAAAATAGAGGTACCTGCTCAGCTAGAGGAGGTGTTAACAGTCAAGGAACGATTTCCACACTGCATCTATTAAAATTGCTGAAGAGGTTTTTCACAAGATGAAATTAATCAGAAGAGAGGTCAGAAAGAAATTAAACATCAAGAGATGGGAGAACAGAGTACAGACCTCCTGAGTTAATGATCATATACCAACATGGGGTGTCTCAAAGAGGTGCTTTGGAGTCAGACAGCTAGGTTTGCACCACTCTCAGTGGCAGTGAAAGAACATGCACACAGGAGAAAGAAGAGGCTGACATCACTGATGTCATATGATAGCCAGGAGGATCTCCCAAAGGACACCAGTATCCAAAAGACACTTAGGAGCCTTTACAGGCACCAACAGGTGGTAGGAATCTTACTGCTACCTCCAGGGTAGAGAGAAAAAAGATGAGAGTTAGAATGATATTACTATGTGCTAGGAATTGTGCTAACTACTTTTTACATTCTTGATTCTACATGTTCCCTAAACTTTTGAGAGAGCAGAAAAAATATAATTATAAGGTCATGGCTAAAGATGAATAAAGGTGAATATTGTTCAAGAGGGATGAAGGATTGTAAAAAGAAATTCTACTATACAATTGGAAATAATCTCAAAGAAGAAGAAAAAAGAAATCTGAATAAATCAATTTAATTTCTTTAGAACAGGTAGTCTTCAAATAAACTCAGATGTAAAGAACACATAGAAGAGATAGAAGAGCATGTAACAATTTTTTTAAAATTTAAAGTGATAACCTATAAGACTGTCAGGAAGGCAAGAGAACAGAATGAACTGAGTCTTACAGTTTACTGCTTGAAAAATGGAATAAGGTCACCAAAAGATAGACTGAAATCAGACTAATCAACCTGTACTTTGCTTCCATCTTCTCCATTAGAGAAAAGAGTCTTCTTTAAACTAGAGTGTATATGTTGTAAATAAGTAGATGAAGTCTAAAACAGGTTGTTTTAAATAGGTTCAAACCTCTAGGTCAAAGACAATTGCATCCAGGGTATTAAGTTTGCAGACATAGTAGAACTCAGACAAGAAACCATAATGGAAATAGTCAAACGATGACCCAATTTTCAAAAAAAAGTGGGGGGAAGAAAACTACAAAGGACCAGCTTGATGAAGTTGCCCAATAAAGACTGATATCAAATTACTAGATAGGTGAATTATGGATGCTTAACATGATAATCACGAAAAGACAACATAGGTTTACTAAGAGTAAATCATCCCAAACTAACCTTTCTCTTTTTGATTTGATGACTAGAGAATTAGAAAGCAAAAAAAAAAAACAAAGTCTTGAAGAGATATGTGTATAACCATGTTCACAGTAGTATTATTCACAATAGCTCGATGTGGAAGCAACCAAGTGTTCATCAACACATGAATGAATAAGCAAAATGTGGTATATACATTCAATGGAATATTATTCAGCCTTCAAAAGGAAATTCTGCAATACTGCAATGCAAATAAACCCTGAGAATATTATGCTAAGTGAAATAACTCAGTCAGAAAAAAACAAATACAGTATAATTCCACTTATATTAGGTACTAAGAGTAGTTAAGATCACAGAGACAGAAAGTAGCATGGTGGTTGGCAGGGGATGGGAAGGGAGAGAGAATTCTTTAATAGGTATAGAGTTTCAGTTTTAAAAGATGAAAAGAGTTATGAAGATGAATAGTGGTGATGGTTGCATAACATTATTAATGTATTTTATACCACTCAACTGTACACTTAAAAATGGTTAAAATGATAAATTTTATATCACATGAATTTTGGAAACACGCGCACACACAGACACACACACACAGCAATGCCTGTGGAAGACTTCTGAGTTCTAGGCCTCTTTCGCAGCAACAGCAAGGAGATAACAACAGATACTTTACTCTCTGGACACTATCTCAATCTAAAGGGTAATACCTGAATGAAAACTAGGATCAGATGCTACATCCTACTATACAAAAAGACAGGTAACTGGAAGACTTTAGAGTGTTAGTAAGTAAAATGTGAAATGACAAAAAAGAAGCCAGCTGAGGATAGGATCAGAATAAATGTATAAACAGGATTAAATGGGATTACCTTACTTTGTAGGAAACAAGCCATTTGCAAGGAGGGTTCCATTTTGTTGTAAAAATTACAGTATAAAGTAAGGATGAAGCGGGGGAGGAAGATCCAAGAATAATATTTATTCCCAAGTACGTTTCTTTAAATATTATTTACATCAAGCATTGCCCAGAGGAGACAAAGATGAGAAAGATAGGATGCCTATTTGATGGGGATCATGTTATAACTGGAGAGATATCAATCATTGTGAGATAATATAGTAAATGCTTTTATGGGAATGTCTAAGATATGTAGGAGCATAATGTAATAAAAGGTATGAGGAAAGGCTTCAAAGATGTGACATTTGAGCCAAGTCTACAAATGAGAAGAAATTTTAGAGGTAAAAAAGGAAGATGGGTATTTCAAGCAGAAAGAAGAGTATGTGCTAAGACTTAGTAGCAAGAAATAAAACTCGAAAATTAAGACATGTTCCAACCACTCCTTATACCATGCTAAATTTAGGCCTTCCCCTTCACCCATCTGGAAAACCTCTACTAATAACCTAAGACTCAGTAACATTTGTCCTTGACAAACTGATTCTCCCTGTGGTGGATACTACGGTGCACAGCCAGATCTCCTTTAAGAATGGCGGCACTCATCTCCCCAACTACCAGGACAACTGAGTCTTGTAAAGGGAAATACCCTCTTCAGAAAGCTGCTGCCCTGCTCAGAGTTACAGGACTTCTCTGGGGGCAGCCTGTATTTAAGACTGATGGATACAGGAGTAAAATTGCCCAGAGCCCTTGGATAACTAGGTCATTTAGGTAGAGCCATGCCAGCTCCAGAGATGCTCACTGGACCGGTTAAGGCCTCTATTCAGATTTCCTGGGTACAACCAACTCTGCCTCCTTCACCCCTCACAAGTGTTGGTGAGGAGGACTTCCCAATAAACTTCTTGCATGCAAAAAGAAAAAAAAAAGTTTAGGCTTTATCCCAGAGGTTTTGGAAACCAATGAAAGTTTTAAAACTGGAAAGTGACACGGCAGACCTGTATTGCTAACAGTGTTGAATACTGATCTGAATGGTGAAAGGTTATGTGTGTGTGTGTAGGAAACTAGAGACAATGAGTTTACCTGCAATAGTCTAGGTGAGAGATGATGAGGTTTCAGTAGCAGCAGTGATCAGGTGAAGGAGGGAATAGACTCAAGGGCATTTCAGATACAGATTCATAAGACTTGGTATGTAAACTAGATATGGGAGCAGAGGAAGAGGCAGAGGATAACTCCATAGTTTCTAGTGACTAGTAAATGTGTTTTCATTAGTCAAAGCAGGAAATACAATGGGTTGGTGAAGTGTGAGTAAACGTTAAGGTTTTACTCAAACTTCATAGAGATGCCTTTGAAAACCCTAATCTGAGGGATTCTACAGACCCTCTGGTGCTCAGGAAGAATCCAGGGTTGCAGGTAAAAATTTGAGAATCATCAGTCCTGACTGATGCCAGGGTCTCCTCATAACCTGAAGGAAAACCTGAGGTAGCTTGAGGACAATATGAAATCTGAGCAACTGAAGCCATAGAAATAGGAGAGACCGCTCAGGGAAAGCTGGTTTAGGCAGAAGAGAAGAGGTCAATTATAGATTTCTGGAGAGTAACAGGAGTAGGGGAAGAATAAATAGTAAAATATACTGTAAAGAAAAGAGATATAGGAGGAATAGGAGTGAATGGTACTACAGAAGGCAAAGGAGTATTAATTGTACTCAATCATTTTCTTACCAAGTATTGATGGATACTGGTTTCAGACTGTGTTTCTGGTCTGAGTGATTCAACTTGTGTTCGTGAAGCACAGAAACAATCCTGGAAATTCAGAAATGGATTAAATAAGTGAAAAATGAGTCGTAAGATAAGTAGGGGTGGTATGTGGATACAAAAAGATCTGGTGACCAGGGTGAGGAGCAAAGGGAAAGGGTGGCATGCAAGAGCCTGAAACTGAAGCCAGGATCCACACCTGGAGGTACATAGTATGGGAAAGAAAGGAGAGGCAGGTGGATGCACAGAAGACAAATTTAATATCTGCTATACTTGGCATTATCTCTAATCTTATCTCTAATCTTTGTCCTCCCTTCTGGAGGTGATGGTATAAATTCATTTTTACAGCTGGTATTAATATTTAACCTTTCATCGACTTGGCAGTTTTTTTCTGAATAGTTAGCTAAAGATTATTCTGCTGTACTTATTAAAATCCTTTTTAATTTTGATCCTCAGTTTTTCTTAAGTGTAGGAACCATTTTTATCCACATTAAACCACATATTGAGTATATTTGGAACCACTTTTGTTTCTTAAAGTGATAAACACCTTTAACTTCAACTCAAAGCAAATTAAAAGACTTAGTTCATTATCACAATTTACATTTTCCTGCATTTTAACTCATGATCCTATTATCACATATAGCCCATAAAGAAATGTAACACCTACATATGATTTATCTCATCATCAATTAGTGGAGTGAAGTTGGCCTTATAGCATTTAGGAAGAAAGGACATGTCGAATGAAAAGTATAAACAAATTGTATGAAAGAGATTTTCATAATAAATTAAATTTTCAAGCATGTCATGAACACTCATTTTTATATGAACATTAGTAATCAAACATCCTTTCTTTTAAAATATGTCTGGGAGATGGGGTAAAAGGGATCAAATATGTGGTGACATTAAAGAATTAACAAAACCAAGTGTGAGAGCCAGAAAATAAATGAATAAATAAAACATGCCAGAATTTTTCACCTAATCAAACCAACCATTTTCCCAGTTAGCCTGAATTACTGATTATTTTAAGTTGAATTCAGATAGTCTGTATACCTTATTAATTTTATCAAAATAATTTTATATATATCCCCATTGTTATTATGTAAAACTTGCCCCCGAAGAACAGAAGTTAACAATGTTGAGAATGAGTTTCTCATGGGCTTCTCTAGTAAGCAATATTTCACATGTTGTCATAGCTCTGGGAGAATTAAGCACATCCTATGTGACCACACTGGAAAGGCTTCTTGGAAGTCTGTGCCTGGTTTCCTCCAAAATTCACTTCATGTACCTTTTCCCTTTGATAATATTGCTTTGTATCCTTTTGCTATAATAAATCTTAGTTGTGGGTATGACTGACTATATGCCAAGTTTTGCAAGTCCTCCTAGCAAATCACCAAACCTGGAAGTAGTCTTGGGGGGGGACCTCTGCCACAGCTATCAAAAGACATTCAAGCATATAAAAAGCCTTTCTCTCTAAAAAAGGCCCATCACTTTTTTTGATGAAAGAGAAGTTAATTTAAGACATATTGGGGCGTATTTATTAAAACTTAAATTGACCCTGATTTACTTTCAAAATAAGAGTATGATCCATGCTTTCAGTTTATAGAGAAAACATTTTATAAACATGGTAGACTTCCATTTCAATATCTTATATAAAATTTTCACAGTGCAAGAAACTGGTCACTATTGAATATGCAGACAGCTAAAACCAGCCAGTATTACAAGGCAGAATATTTTTGCTGTTCTCTCCTAAAAAATGTGAGCATGTTCATTAGCTGCCTGGGTTATAAAAAAAAGAATTACAAAATAGTCATATTTTATCCTTCAAAACATTTTTATATCCACATTGAATCAATTGGATGCTGATGAATATAATAGCTCATGAAAAATCTACACGGTGATCTCTTTTAGGCAGTATGATGATTTAAAACCATCCAGGAGAAAGCTCCTCCAAAATATTTTAGAATGTGATTTTTTTTATCCATTATCATAATAGCCATGTGAAAAGCAGTTATACTCTGGTGAATCTAAAGGAAAATATTTTACTTATGCTGCTCCTTTGAAAACACCATTTTTTAGCTTTCAAACAAAGGGTAAAAGTTGAATGAGGAGGAATACTTCATAAGTAAAAATATCGACTTTATCTCAGTTGTATACATATCTCATTTAGTAAAAAATATAAATATTTTCATTCAAAGAATTCTAAATATTTCATCGTTTCAGGAAGACTATCATTTAAAGTAAAATTATTAACAAATTGAATGAATATAAATCACAAAATCCATAATTATGTAATAATAGATTAAGATATCCTTTTTGCAAAATTTGGAAGCCCTGGGCAACCATGCAGCCTTCTGAATCTCAGGATCTTCATCTATCAAATGCCCTTTTATATCTCATCCAACTTACAAATTGTTATAAAATTGTTCATCTTACGTAATCAAACTGATCCATATTTTTTAGTGAATAAGAATTTACTGGAACACAGATTCATCTACATATGGCCTATGGCTGCTTTCACACTGGAATAAAAGAAGAGTAATTTAACAGAGACCATATAGCATACAAATACTATCTGGCCCTTTACAGAAAAAGTTTGCTGATACTTGCTTTGAAAAATGAGGTAGGTATTTCATCTCAATGTATTTTCCAGATATAGAAAGCTCCCACTTTTAAGTAGAAAAACTATACTTTAAACAAAAAGTAAACATATTCTGTATTTTCTACATAATACAGTCTCCTAACTTCATAGTTCTGCCTCTCAGACTTGGCAAATAAAGGAGTTGATTGGCAGATCTAAGTTTGAGCCCTGGCTCTAATTCTTTGCAATCTTGGGCCTAACTCAAAATAGGATTATACCACCTGCCCTGCCAATCACTCACAATTTTGAAGACTGAAAGAGATATGATGTATGAAAGTATTTGTAAATTACAAATCATCATCCAAATGCACCCATCAGTTTCTAAAAGATCACTGCTTTAATATAATAATTCAAATATTCAAGTATTGTATTCTACATAAGACACGGTGAACATCCTAAATGTTCGGTAAACTTAATCTAAAGCAGATCCCATGGATCTAAAATAAACAGAAAACAAGTTGGTACCTATACATCATATTATATGTTGATCCAAATGTTTTTTGTCTTGCTGTTAAGTCAAGGGGTTACTTTTAATACTATTTCGCTTGTCTTTAGTACGATGAAAATTTGTAAGATGGATTTAAAGATTTAAAGGATAAGGCATAGTTAACTGGATGAGAGAGACATATCTAAGTACAGTATATATATGAGAAAAAGTGGGCAGGGGTCAAAGGAGCACAATAATGAGTATATCAAAAAAGTATAAGAGAACCTCTTTTTTGAAGAGACAAAAACTGAATGAGAATTTAACTCATTTCTTAACATCTCAGAGCCTAAGACTATCCCATCGGAATCTGCCTTTTATGGTTCGGTATTAACATCTAATTACTCTGATGGCACAAAATTAGATCCACATTAACAAAAACTTACCAGAAGAGACATTGAATCGCTTTAGTTCACAGAAACTGATAAAAATCCATCTATTACAGAGAAGATTTTTGCCTTATCTTCAAGATATAGAAATATTCTACTGAAAAAAACAAAAGCAAAATAATTGAAATTTACATAAACATTCCTTGAAGAACTAGTTGCCATAAACCCACACAATATTTAGGTAGCTATTCCTTACAAAGACTGGAGACATTCCTGAAAAGTGCCTTTTAAAGCATTTCTGTTTACTTGGGATCTGACATCACAACAGAAAGGCACAGTGAAACTGAAAGGAGGTTCTGAATATTTTCAAACCCTCCGTATTCTGCATCTGTTCTTCCATATCTTTTCTGTACTACTTTTTTAAAGGATCCTAAGCAAAGGTGAAAGCAATACAGAAATGTTAGACCCACTTTTGATGTAAATAGTGCCACTTATAAATATGCCCCAAGAATTTCCAACAATTCCACTTACAAGTAAACTTCGAGGTTTCCAAAACTTCCTGATCAGATTACCTATTAAACCATCCCTGACCAGCAAAATTGGGAAGAATCAAGATTAGTAACAGACTAGAAATTCATAACATTTTCTTGTTGCCATGTTTTTAAAAAAAGAAAATTTTTTCAGTGTTCACGTGAAAGTATTATTTTCTGTAGGTTGAATATTTTAACCTTATGATATTTAGTTCTCAATTATATTCTTGTAATGTACTGACAGATATGAAAGATATATGGATTATTATTCAACTAATCCCTGTCTACTTCCACTAATAAAGAATTACTCTCAATAATTTATGAAGACTCTGCAACAGATTCAGAGATTTAAAATAGTTACTGCTTCAGATTCAGGAACTACAAAAGCACCACCAAAAGTTTCCAGATCTTTCCTAATGTTCTAAACTTGCTAGTGCCTGGGTGTTTGTTTCCTTACACCTAATCAATATAATATCTTCTCTTTCATATAAATTGTGCTTCACTATTTCATTTTAATTAATTCCTCAAGTTTGAGCAAGGCCTCTGCAAATATCTGAGCAAAATGAGAAAGAAAAGGAAGATTTTGTAAACCATAGATATTATAGAGTGGTACCCAATTTTACTGCTCAGGAAAGATGTGAATTTATTCAGGATGTTCAAACCAAAGGTAGAGAATGGGAAGAAGAAACTGAAAGAGTATGATTATTTCGTCATCTGCCATTCACTATCATTGATTTAAGGCGCTGGAAAGGAGGAATGCAATGCCTGCCCTGCCCATCTTCCAGAGTGATTGAGATCAAATGAGTTACTTCATCTGAAAGTACTGGTAACTACCAAACACTGTATCAATATAAGAACTTGAGTGGATGCTCTAAAAGGCACACTCAATTATATCATTGCAAAATGGGATGGCTCATTTGGAAAGCTAGTTGGCAATGTTTCCATAACCAAGAAAATGTTAATACCTGTGATGCAGTAAAATGTTCATTTCTAAGGAAATAAGCAAACAAATTAAGAAACCATATACACATAGAAAGTAATACTATAATGCGAAACAGCCAACTATTCATTCTGCAGTTGTTTAATGAATGGCTGCTATGGATACGGCACTGTGCTGGGCACTGGGGATACTCACTGGTCATCATGCACATAAGGCCCTGACCACCTGTAAGCTTACCATCTCACAAGCAGAAAGACTAGGGACATCATGATTAACTAAATTTTCTGGTTATTAGAATTTTAATCCTGCTTTTTCCACTTAATAACAGTAAGCTCTTTCTTAAACAGTAAAAACTTTAAACTGTTACATTACCTATTTTTCAGAAAAACTCAAAAGAAACAGGTACAATCTGTGAGAATAGTTAATACTAAAGAGGTTGTCCCCATGGGGTTTAATTCCAGAGGTTTTTGCTTTAGGTATGCAAGATTATTAAGAGATAATTTTACAAGACATTTTGAGGTCAGGGCAGCAGCTGCACCTAGTAAGGGCTGGGAGGGGGGTGATTTGCTGTCATAATTTTCTCTGCGTGCTCTTTCACTAGGTATGAACATAAAAATACTTTTTTAAAATTTGTATTTCAGAGGCCTGTTTCTAATTAATGTATGCATAAGTAAAACGGTGTGGTCACTTGCGCTTGTATTTAAAAAGCTAATTAGAATAAAGCTTTATAAATAATTTAAATTTGTTCTATAATAAAATGGTTCATCTGAAGACTTTAACCCGAAAGGCTGACACTGTGAAAATCAGGGGCTGCGTCTATTTACAGAACTCGGGTTTTGAGTTAATCATCCAAAAGAGTCCATTGTTATAGGGAATGCAAAAATAAAAAATAAATAAAACCACCTGCTTTAACTCTCTGCTGAGTTTTTAAATTACTGTAATTTTCAAAGTGATCTTGGAAACCCATATCTCAAAAATTATAGTGACGCACAACTCAGTAGAATTTTCCAAACTTAGTATCATGAGTCATGTTTTCAAAAAGTATTTACTGAACGCCTACTGTGTGCTTTGTGCTAGGCAGACGCTGTGTCACAATCCCTATCAAGTTTTGAGGAATAAAGTACTGTACAATACAAACCCACGAGGGAAAAACACAACGCTGAACTTAAATACCGAGGACAAAACGAAGCTTGAGCATTTGCTTTTGTAAAGGTTTCTTTCTAGGCCTGCTTTGAGGGGACTTTGTAGCGAACTCGCAGAAGGTGGCACTTGGAGCTGGCGCTGGAGGGTGTCTTGTGTTTGGAAACTCCACCAGACTCGTGAGCGCGGCCAAAGGTGAGAGCTTTGGGGGAGACAGCGCTGCAGGCAGCTTCGACCCGCGCACCTGGCCGGCACTGCCTGCCTCGCATACAGGTGCCTCCACCACCGCGTGGCCCCGCGGCTCAGGGCAGAGCCGGAGTCGCAGGGGTGCAGGGGCCGCTAGCCACGCCGGACCGGGCTCAAGACCCGGAGGCGAGGTCCAGCCCCGGGTTTCCCGCGGCATGCGCGGACCGAGCGTGCTCCCTCTGGTATTGACCGGCCCCTAGACCTTCCCCTCCCGGACCCGGCCTCCCCTCATTACCCTGGCGGCGATCACGGCTAGCGACTGTCCTCAAGCGGCCAGCTGTACGGGGCCTGGGCGGGCTTAGGAGCCCGGTCAGCCGAGGGGCAAGGCGAGGGCACAAGACCCGCTCCCAGAGCGGGCCGCGGGGCGCAGGAGGC